TCGAAAATAAATCATCAATCACATTCTAAAGGCCTTCTGACGATTTATCATGAAAGTCCACTATTTGTTGTCATCAATACCAAGGTCATTTGCTAGGTGCAGCACAAGCCATCACCAACTTATGGTATTCTCCCGTTCAATCACTGCGTAAGCAATCTGGTAAATGTAATCACTTGCATCATATGCAACCGGTTGTAAGCATCTGTCTCCCATAATTTCCCTTAAGTAACACCCATCTAATCCAATTATTGGCTTACGACCATTCAAAAACCCTCTGCTTGCATGCTTCGAAGCAAATGTATATTCCTTTGAAAACCTACTCCCTCAATGCAATGAATATAGTAGATCCTGCATATGATCAAAGCATCCAAAACTGTTTTTTAGATTGCCTTAGAAAAGTAACTTTACATGCCTTAATGCCTGTATGCAACATCCCGACTAATGTAAGACTTTAGATCTTGCTTCACACAACGAATGATGCACGTTGACTTCCATTCAGGATTTTCTCTAAAAGTCTCCAAATATCGCTTAGCTAAGAAATCATATGTGAGACACCTATTTATCTTACCACGACTGCACGTGTGCACTAGGGCTATTGATTTTATTTGAGAATGCATCATCCTTACACATCTTAGACGCCCAGATATTCCAATTGCATCCTTCCTTGCATAAAGCTTGCACCCTCGATTTATTATTTGCTATAATTTTCACGTTGTACCTATGGAGTGCCCCGTATGTTCTAACTACTCATCTAAAAGCATCTATCGAACTGAACTTTGGTCAACCATGAATTGAGGATCCTGCACATTCTTCTCCGCACAAAATTCGATAAATCTAGGCTTGATTCGTCGTCCGATGAATAGCCAAACAATAATTTCTAAGAGGATGGGTACTCCAAGTCAATATCTTCATCCCCATTTTACATGTACATGTTGTCATCCTCATCCTATGATATTCGTTATTAACAACGATAAAATTTGGATCATCCTCTTACTGTCACCATGATGCATAGCACAATTAGTCCAAAATAAGAACATATATATATATATATATATATATATATATATATGGTAAAACAGTGGATGAATAGAAGTATTGCCAATCATTTACATAAAACTAAAACAAATATGGTAAATACATAGTAAAATAATAAATCGATGAACACCAACACATCAATGAATAAGTCGAAAACCATTAGCGAATCTAGATTCCAACTATCGAAATAGCCAAGCAATCAAACAACATGAGGTGGAGATCTAGTGATTACGAAGAATCAAAAGGAAGTAATAATGATATCAAAAAGTAAGTAAATTTTACGTGCATCTGACCATCCATTGTGTGGCATCGTCGGTCTTCCTTCCTTCTTCCTCTTATTTAATGGAATGGGTAGGATTTGGGGAGAAGAATTTGGAGATTTTGGGACTAGGGTTCGTAAATAGCTGGTTTGTGGGTTTTTGGAACTCTAGAACAAACAGGTGTTTGGAAGAACGGTTGTGCTATGTGTACAACCAGAGTTGACAATTAGACACATTAGAGGGGGCCCATGCTGAATAAAAAAATCGTGGGTCCCTCTTCTTGTGAGTACATTGTTAATCTCGATTGTACAAGAAGAATAATTCTTGAAAGAAATAGATTTTTTGGGAGTTTCTTACCACAAAACATAAAATGTTTTCAAAAATGATTTTCTTAGTTGGCATATGTAATTTTCAGTTTTTGAATAAACAATGATGACGAGGCTCTACATGGACGTTTCGTTAGCCACGTCACCACTTCTGTTATGGTTTACAAACGGAAGTTAATTAAGCTCCCGTTTGGACTCCATTCTCATTCTTTTTCTCTATCTTATTTTCAACCATACAATATTTCATAAAATAATATTACAAATAAATAAAAAACTTTTTATTCGTTTTCAACCACATATTTTTCAAAAAACACCATTCCAACCATTAAAATTTGGCAAGATTGGTGGCCAAACGAGGGCTAAGTGAGTAACGTCAAATATTTGGGTAAATTCAATGGTCAAATCTTGACATTTTAAATATGTGAAAGTAATCAAAGACGTGAATATAAATTTAGGGACTATTAGGACAACTAAGCCCCCATTTGGCCCTATTAATTTGAATTATAATGGAGGAATAGTATTTTTTGAAAAAATGAGTGGTTGTAAAAGAATGAAAAATATTTGAATTACGTGTAATATCATTTTACTGAAAATTGTGTTATTAAAAATAGAAGAGAGAAAAATTTAATTTAGGCCCCGTTTAGTAGCCATTTTCTTCAAAATGCATTTTTCTCTACCTTCTTTTCAACCACACATTCTTTATTAAAATAATATTACACGTAAATCAAAAAATTTTCCTTATTTTTCAACCATACATTTCACATTAATTTACTATTCTAAAATATATTTTTACATAAAAACACCTATCAAACAAAGATTTAAAGGTTACAGACGAGGCTAACTCTTACCACGCAATAAAATACGAGTTACCAATCTCATCCCCAATTTCTCGCTTATGACTCACTGATTGTGTTATTAAAAATAGAAGAGAGAAAAATTTAATTTAGGCCCCGTTTAGTAGCCATTTTCTTCAAAATGCATTTTTCTCTATCTTCTTTTCAACCACACATTCTTTATTAAAATAATATTACACGTAAATCAAAAATTTTTCCTTATTTTTCAACCATACATTTCACATTAATTTACTATTTTAAAATATATTTTTACATAAAAACACCTATCAAACAAAGATTTAAAGGTTACAGACGAGGCTAACTCTTACCACGCAATAAAATACGAGTTACCAATCTCATCCCCAATTTCTCGCTTATGACTCACTTCTATTAAGCAGTAGGCGGGAAAAAAATTCTGAAAAAAAATAAAAAACAGAAGAGGGAGAAACGGAAAAACTCTATTCGATCTCCGACCATGAGAGCCGCCGGTCGCCGCCGCGCTACGGAATCCTTGGCATCGGACCGCCGTCCCCCACCACCCACACCTACCAACACTGCAGACCCATGGCAATACCTGTCCACCCCAGTCCCTGGCCGCGACTCCGACGCCAGTTTCTGCAGCAGCCGCCCCTCAAACGCCTCCATCGGCCGCCCGTCAGCCGCTTTCCCCAACACCTCCGACAAATCTTATCAGCTTGCTTCTATCAGAACCATCAATGCCTATCTTGCCTCTCTCTCCCTCCCTTTCTCTCTCAAACCCCCTCTTCCCTCCGCCAAAGACATCACTGAAACCCTCAAATTCCTCCTCCATCGCCTTGGCTTCTCAGCGCAGAAATTAGATGAAGACCTTGTCCTGAAAGTCTTGAAGGCCCTGAAATGTCCCTTGAAATTAAACAAATCTGCACTCAAAGCCCCGGGTACCCCTCATGCCTGGCCTAATTTGCTTGCCGTCATTCTCTGGGCTGTTCAGATAGTTAAGTACAACGATCATTTGTTGAACTCCCCGTCGAGTTTTGAGGATAATAGCATGTTCAAGTACACGGCAAATAGTTACTTGAGTTACATTAGGGGGGATGATCAGGCAGTGGATGCTTTGGACGAAGAGTTTATGAGAGAATTGCGCGAGGAAAGAGATAAAATAGAGGAGAATGTGAAGGCTGTTGAAGGAAATGTGAATGAATTGGAGGTTAAATTGGAGAGTTTGAAGAAGGGACCGAGCCAGAAGGAGGCATTGGAGCAGGAGAAGGCTTTATTGGAGAAGGACGTGACTAAGTTCCATATGATTATTGAGCAGTTGGATGGGCATATGCTGGAGGTGCAAAAGAAAATTGAGGAGAAGGAGAAGGAATTGGAGGTAAAGGTGGCTGAGAGGAAAAGGATCTGCGATGAGAACGAGGAGTTGAAGAGAACCATAGAGGAACAGGGTATTAATGCAAGGGATGCAGAGAGGATGAAGAGAGAATTGCAGGCTGTGGAGAGGGAAAAAGAGGACGCAGAGGCTTCTAGGAATGGTTGGGAGGAGAAGATTTGGGAGCTTGATTCTGAGATCGGGCATAAGTTCAAGGAGCTTGAGTGGTTAGCAATCGAGTGCAACCAAGCTATCCGGAGGTTTTTCCCTGCTCTCGTTGCACCGTTGTTGGTTTTTTAATGTGAATTTGCAATATATGTGTGTGTGTGTGTGTGTGTGTGTGTGTGTGTGTTTAGAGTTGTGGTTTTAGATGAGAAGAAATTATCCTTAGCGTACAGCTCCTGTAAATGATTTAGGTGCTGGGAATTAAGCTAGTTATGTTGTAAACCGCAGTGTCATAGCAATCCACTTTTGAGAAAGTGCCATCAGTTTAATTTCAGTGATGTTGGACATAATAATATTAACAATCAGCTTAAACATGTGGTGAAATTCTGGACCGTGATTGTATATTTTTTCTTTTATCTTCTTTTCAATGATCTGTATTCACAGCATTATCAACAGGCATCTTTACTAAGGAATTTTTGACCATCTTGTTACATGTGTTGTAAACTGTCAAAGACAATACTTCTATTGCGTCTTCCCTCTCTGTCTTTGGTTACTTTTAGCCCTGAGATGCAAATCGGCTAGATGCTTCAGTATCAAGAAGTATTGTTTAATTGTCTTTGTTTGGTCCCTGTAGATTCTATGGATTGTGTCAGAATATGTTACGGGGTTACAAATGCAATTCATGCCCTAGTTCCACGGCCCTGCTTCTCCCCCCGAAAAAACATATCAATTTTATTTTTTATTTTATCACAGTGAATTAACCTGCTCAGTCACTGATTTTATATACGTCTTTGTAGTCTTCTTTCTCTTGAAACTTGATGCAAGCTCTCCATTAGGTTCAAGCAGAGGACTTTCTTTGTTGTTTTGTGATTTTTTGAACTGAATATATCATAATAATGTTTTAATTATTACGATTTGCTTTTCTTGAAGTTGAAGAGAAAGGGATAGGAAATCGACTCTTCATTGTTTTAATCATTTTATTGATAGGGAATATTATCGAGGCAGGCATAGCTTTCCGCACAGACTGCACACGACATTCCATTGCTATAAAATAACTAGATAAAACTAAATTAAGATCTTCATAGAAGGTGAATTGCCATACGTTGTTTTCCCTGTCTTGGTTATTTTGCCCTCTAATAACTATGCAATTTTCAACGCACATTTACTTCACCGACCATAAATTTTATAATTCACTCGTCCCATACGCTGCCAATATTTACTCAATTTTGGTTTCTAGGTTAAAGCTTGGAATTGGATTTCAATATCAGTTGAATGCCAAGGGGTCCACACCTGGTGATGTACTGGGATCAGATTACAAATCAATACTGAAGCCTGCACTCACCTCATTTGCTGAAGAAATAAAAGCAAGTTCAGTAGAGAAATTGGAAGAATTGATATCTCTTCGGCAACAGTCCGGAGAGAACGCTGCTAAGATTGAGGAGAAAAGAAATCGTATCTCTGCCTTTCAATCCTATATTGACGAAGTAAGTGCTCACATCCATTAGATATTTGCAAATGCCTCTTTTGCATCCACGCCTCAATTCATTAAAAATCATGAGCCATGTAACGATCACCCACTGCATGCTGCTTTAAACTTACCAGATTACATTGCATCCTCAATTAATAGGTTGTCCAATATGAAAATAAGTGTGTATTGGAAGAATCTCAAATAATTGAGTGATGTGCCCCACTATCCTCTACCACATAGTGACATGGAGATAATTGTGCATTTTGGCTCAAATATAAAAGGAATTGCCTGTCTCCTGTGTTTTGGCCATGAAACTCAGCCGATCAAGCCTCATTGGTGAATTCTCTTTTTCCACTTTGCAAAATACAATAGGCCTAAATTTATTTCAATTACATCATTCTATGTGATTTAGGTCAACCTCTACCTCTAGATTTACTATTACTACTAGTCGCTTCACTTTTCCTCGATAGTCATCTAACTTTGAATTGAATATTTGATCATCTGCCTTATTTCTTTTTGTTTTAACATACTAAAAGATCTTTCCATTTTAAAACAAATGCCTGTCATGTGGTCATCCCAAAAAAGATGTGGGAGAAAGCAAAATGTTATCTCCTGTTCCTTAATAGCTAATTTTTATTCCAGAGTATTGTTTTTTTCTTGGGATTTGTTATAAGTTATAACTTTATCCAACTTGATAATTTAGTTAAATCCTTTGATTAGTGTCTTTTAAGAAAAAGGAAATGCTCTAAAGTAAGACTAAGTGAATGTTTGGGTGTCATTGTAATCTCGTTAAAATGAAAAAGGAGTCCATGCACGAAAATGTGTGGATAATTAGTAGATATAGTTGTGAATGTTTGAATAAAATTAAAGTTTGACCGAAAATTATAAATGACTTGTAACGTTTCCCAAACATATGCAGGACTCTTTAAAGTTCTGTTTATAACAATTAATGCGGTTGTTTTTAGTATTATTACATATAACCTAGCAGCAAATCTAGATTGCCTAGTATTTATCCTTAGATATGATGATGGAGGCCTCCCAAAGATCATTGCATCGACATGGTTTCTGCTCACTTATCACAAATAGCTCAAATTGTCTAATTTGCAGTATTTTAAAAACCGTAAAGCGTGGCGAAACATAGAGTCCAAGCTTTGACCTAGACGAGCGCCTAGGCATAAAAAACTGTAAAAAAATGTTTTTTATTTTAATATTATTTTAAATTTCTAAATCAATCTAAAAATTATTTAATAATTAAAGAAAGAAAGCATTAAAAGGGTTAAAAACATTGTAAAAGCGTTAAAAAAGCACGCCTAATTGCCCAAAAAAAAANAAATTTTGAAAATATTAAACATTTTGGATTGACGTTGTCTAAACCGCATTCTGTTTTGTTGGGGGTGGGTAGAAGGTGCTGCATTTATCAATCATCTGCACGTGCCTCTGTCTAAGTGGTCATTAATTTGAGGAAGACAAGTCAGTTTTCTTTCCATTTATTCCTTTATATGATAATGTTTGATACTTGTTATGGAAAGAAGTGAGCCTACATTGGTTCCGGAATGGTTGAAAAATGGTGGAAGTCTGACTGGTGGCAGCATTACATCACATTCAGGTTTTTTTTATGATAATTTTGAAGTAATATAGTTTATTTAGTATGTTCTGCTTAAATTGGCTTAATCTAGTTTCTAAATGCATCTTTGTTTTGTCAGAGAGTCAAGCTACATCAAATCTTGCAAGAAATAAGTCATCTGTGCATAGCAACGGCCATGATTCAAGGCGATCATATGGTTCTGATAGAACCACTTCTTCATATTTCCACCGGAGTTCTAGTAGTAATGGTTCTGGTCGTTTGATGTCTTCCGGTAGTTTTGGTAGAAATCACCCGGATAGGGACTGGGAAAGGGACATAAATGATTCTTGTGACAAAGGAAGGCCTGTTTTGGGGGACTATAGGCACAGAGATTTTTCAGGTGTTTTTGGGAACGATTTGCCGAGTAAATATGAGAGGGATGGGGTGAGGCGTTCACAGTCTATGATTTCTGGGAAACGTGGGGAGACATGGTCAAAGAAAGTTGTAACAGACTTGAGCAGTGCCAACAGACACAACAATGGCTTGCTCACTGAGGGCAGTCCTGTTGGCAGTGCAAACAAAGCTGCTTTTGAGAGAGATTTTCCATCCTTGGGAGCAGAAGGAAGACCAATCACTCCTGAGGTTGGAAGAGTCCCATCTCCTGTCTTGAGTAATGCCATTCAGAGCTTACCCTTTGGCACCTCAACTGTGAAAGGTTGCGAAAAGTGGACCTCAGCATTGGCAGAGGTTCCCTTGATAGTTGGTATTAATGGAATTGGCACGTCATCTTTGCAGCAATCCACTTCTTCAAATTCTTCTTCTGGCACTTTTGGGACAAGTTCTGGTCTCAACATGGCTGAAACTGTGTCTCAGAGTTCTACTCATGCTCAGACTACTACTCAGGTAATTTTCAATTCTCCCTGTGTTTTCGGGGAATGAATCAGAAAGTTATTATGCTTATATGATGTTTTATGTTCTGTTACAGTCATCAGCTGGAGCTTCAAGACAGGAAGAACTGGCATTCAAACAATCTAAGCAGCTAATTCCCATGACACCATCCATGCCGAAAACCTTGGTAAGAGCGTTAAAACCTTTGCTTTAAAGTGCGTGATACTTAGTGAATCAGCTTTGATAGAAGAAGTTTGTTAATATAGAGAAAATTACAGAAGTATGGAGCAAGGAGTACTCGGCTACACGTTAACACAATGAAAGGAACATATGAAATAAATGAATCTTTCTAAGCACATTGCAAATCTAATAGAGCTAAAATGGCAAATATGCTAGAAGCTTTAACACATAAAGATGACAAAACACACAACTGTATTCCATATTAATTAACATGGAGTCATTTCTTCTTCATGCGAGAACTATGTATTCTTTCAATCCAGGCCATCAGTGTGGCAGTTAGACAACAGGTTCTTAGTATTCCTATTAACTGAATATGAAAGGAGAAAAATGGAAGCGTATCTAATATAAAGAAGATTTGTAAATATATAGAAAGAGTTACAGAAGTAGAGGAGTGCTTTGGTAGTTTTGGAACTTCAAAACAAAGTGTTTGCTTGGTAGGGATTTTGTTAATTGATTTTTTAATTGTTAGAGATAAAGTGGGTCCTACTTGTGAGAGAGAAATTCAAAAATGACGGTTGAAATAGTGAAATAACTGTCAAAATTTTGATTTTAATTGGATTTTAAGCTGTACCAAACATGCTCAAAGAAAATTATTATTGAGATAACTCTTATTAGCGTCTTGCATATCCAGTATAGCTAAACTGGCTCATGGCCTAAAAACTTTAGACCATAGTGATGACAAGAAGCTCGCTTTGTTTCACAAGCAATGAAATTACCCTCTCTATTATGTCTAATCTAGAAATGGCTTGCTTTTTTCTAGTTAATAAAGAACTCTATTAATATTCTAGTCTTCTAAATTGGAAATATTTGTTCCTATACAAACTTCCAACCTGATTGTGAAAGGAAAAATCAAATTGTTTCAGTATTTACTGAATTAAACATTATTTAGCTTCTTTTCCCGCTCTTTTTGGGTATTTGAAACTTATTTGGTTTATTGTTGATGACGTGTTGATATTCTCTCTGAATTGTGTTTGCCTTTAGCAGCATTTATGTTGATCCAACATCTTTACTCTTACTTTTATAACATCTGTTTGCATTTAAACTCCAACTGATGATGATTTCTACCAATATCAATGGATGAATGAATGTGGGAATTGACGGCATGAGAATTTAAACATGCATGGTCAACTGGCGATAAAGGCCCCCAGGACTGAATCTTACTTATACAACTTACTGTCTCACAACTGATCCCTTCTTATCTTCACCAGACGAGTGGTTCATTATCCCTTTTAGCCTATTTGGACAAGGTAACCATATAATAGTCAGTTGTCTGGTTGTCCTTAGAAACTCACTAGCCAGTATCGTATCAATCAAATTCCAAAAGGCCCCTCAATAATTCCTCCAACGATGTAAGAGTCTGCATTCTCTCTGGACAATTTATACTGTCAAGTCAATACCAACTTCTGTAATCTCTGTGGTGCCCTAAGGCAATGTTAACAAGGAATTTTTGAGGCCTTCATGTCCAAGAAGACCAGAAGACGGATGCCATATCTCAGTAATGAAAAAATTTAATTAACAGCACACAAAATAATTATCCTAATCCGTGCAGTAAAAATCCCAAAACTTGCGGTACTTTAAGAAGTAACTATCCCACAGGAAAAGCAGGGAGGTAATCAAACCTCAGACGTGCAAACCTATCAGCAATAACAAAAGAATTCCAAAAATTCCAGAAAATCTAATGATTTGAACAGTGAGTAGCACAGAAAAAATACCGGGAAATAAAGAATGGTGTGTGTATCAAATGTGAAATAGAATGGCCCTCTATTTTCAGATTAATATAAGAGAAAAGTATATCTTCAGAATCTTCTGTATAAGTGAAAACCATAGTCCCTTCAGTCAAAACTTGCAAGTGGTGAAGGTTCATAATTGGTGTCAAATTTTCTATAGATAAAAGACTAGTGTCCTTTTCTCTCATTTTGCCCTTTTCATGTACATTGCGGATAGTTGAAGAAGAGTTTTGATGTGTTTGTATGTAGAGAGAGATTTTGTATGTACATGTGGATGTGTTGAGGAAATTTCTGGGTTTTGTGAATAAAATTTGTTTTGAATGGTATTTTCCTTGTTTGTTGTTAGTAATATTTCTATATGTATTGTGGACTGTAGCGTGCTTGTATTTTCTGTGCATGTGTTTGTGCATTGTAGAAAAGTGATAATAGCAGTTCACTTTGTTCTAGTAGTGATAAAACATTAGGACTTATGGATTTGCTATGATGGATGATCAAATCGAAATTTGTTCCTATTGACAGTACAAATTATCTGATGCCACCCTTAAGGTAGGTTTTATGAGGTATAAACAACTTATTTTTAGTTGTTACCTAAACTTGATTTACATAGATTTGAAACAAGAGGTAAATATGTGTTGGAGTATTGAAATCTTTTGTAAATGGATACTTGAATGTGACCATTTCTAGGAGAGTAGGGGTTATTTGTGAGAAGAAGAAACGGGATGGGGGTGCCATACCTCGAAATGGCAGTTTTCTGAAAATGGAAAAATCTCAGGTCTTAAGGCATTTTGTTGAATAATGTCCAGTAGCTCACAACAACAATGACACAATCAAGTCACCTGCAAGAACA